CCCAGTTTTTTTCTTTTTCTTCCATCAGCGCAACCCTTTATTTATCTCACTAAGCCCCTGCCACTGGGTGTGAGACGAATTCAACACGAGAGCCGCTAACCTGGATCCATTCTCATGTATCTGCTGTTCCTCTGCCGCAGAGTGTAATCCTGCACTGTGTGGGATGTATGTGTGGGTATGCACGTGTGTGTTTGTGCCGTCCGTCCGCACAAACACTTCATTCTCCACAGGCCACCTGACCCATTTTTCTGAGTGAATAACAAAACTCCAGCCAATCATTCCGGAAAAAGACTGTCACACGTCAGAGTCCTAACCCTGCCTGTCGACAGGGATGCAGAAAACAGAGTAAGTTAACCTCCCCCTCCTTCTCTCTCTACATCTCCAGCACAGAGGGACCAGTAAAACCATTACCCACCCACCCCAGCTCAAGGTTGTGCTGCGCCAATGGCTGCACTTCCTACATAGCATGCTAAGAAAAGGGCAAAACCAACAGCGAGCGAGGCTGCTCCTGACAAAAGGCATTCATTATACCGCACCACCTCCAGCTACAGTTTAACGCAGATTACATTCCACCCTCCAGATAACAGTTACAGTAAGTCACCATCCTCTAAAAATACACCGAAGCTTTGATGAAGGAAGGCAAAGATTTTTCTTTTTAATTTGCATTCATTAAATGTTAATGAAATATTTATGTAAACATGCTTAACACAGGGTTGCTCACACACCTGATTCAGAACACCTCAGGGTGGACTCAATGTATCCATAGTGACAAGCATCACTTGCATACATCTACATTTGCATGGTTCCAGCCCTATTCTGTAGCTGTCTTGGAATGGAAGACAGTAGGAACGTCCAGCCTTTTCCTAGTAAGTTAACCCTTGGTATTTACTTCAAGGGCCCATTATACACAGACAATTACACGGACATGGTGCGCCTGGCTCCCCTCCCTCTCCAGACTGGCAGCAGAAATAACTCCAACACATCCCAAATGTCAACAAACATGACATGACAACTGGTAGATGCACAAGCTGCCTCAGCAAATGTTCAGACTCAAAGCATTGGAGCAATCTCCTCACACAACTATCTCACTATCCTAACAACCAGCAGCACTGGTAGAATAGAATAGAAAATATATGATAATCACACAGGTCGTTGACACCGGAGACATGCCACCACCATGTTTTGAATTGGCTGATTTTGTTGTAGCAAGAAATGTGCCAATGAAACGCTTTTAAAAAGGGTTATTTAATAATAATAATAATAATAATAATAGATTTAATTTGTTAGCGCTTTTACAGGTGCTCAAAGACGCTTGCACAATAAGTTGACTAAAAATGCAACATGAATATTCATGTGGGTAAAAAACACTGTACTTATATAAAATGACCGAAAATGGATGGATGCACATTCTAAAGAGGGAGCATGAGCAAAAACAGAATAATGGAAGCTGCAGAGAGATGAGGGAGCAGAGAGAATCTGTGTGATGGGCGGCGGCCCTGGTGCTTCGCTCATGTGCTGAATGAAAAGGAGCCCCTGTGTGGGTGTGTGTGTATTTATGTGTGTGTGAGTCTCTGCAGTAATGCTGGGGGTCAGCCCCCTCTCAGGCCTACTGCTGCTGAATGCAGAGCAGGCAGCATTGGGCCAAGGCAAATGACTACAAGGCCTCCTCAGAGACTGTAGCGCGGCTGCACCTGGGGAGGGGCCCTGCTCAGCAACACAGCCTCCGCTGGCCCATCAGCTACACTAACCATGACCCAGGCCCTTCAGCGGGCATATGTCATGTCTAAAGTACAAAAGTGTGGAATCTGTTCCTGACTGGATAAATGAGTTATAATCCCTCAAAATCTGATCACAGTGATGATCAGCTGGGCCTGCTCATACTGGGACCTACATACAATCCAAATAGTCCTGTGCTATTAACCTAGATGCACAATATGTATTTCAAGCCACACAAATGCATTAACTCACATGTCAAAGTCAGTTCATCCTATTGCTTCTTAGTGCTGTTTCTAAACCAAGCAACTGTTAAATGAGCATTTTGTTTTCAAACACCAATGTTTACTCAAATTGGTCTGACAGGTTTCATTTTTCACAGCATGTCCTGCTAATCAACCTTGTGTCAGGTCTTGGGTGTCAGAGTACACCACAGCCGCAAGTGCACACCAGAACTGTAAATCAATCTGAGCTCTTAACTACAGTACATTACCACAGATGGTGAAAATGCCCACTGAAATAAGCTAAAGATAGAGAACTGAGAACTTAAATGATCTTCTTCAAACAGGAAGCAGCAGTCGCATGCAGAGCTTGTGCTCCGGGCTTTTGACATTCTAATATAGCCTACTGTAGATGTACACAGTATTGCAAGTAAAGTAAGTCATTAACAACGTTTATACAGCGCCAATAGTTATGATAGGCTTTTCATAAGAGCCTCAAGGCTGCTGGGGCTTTACCAGAACTGACCATCACTCCTATAAGCTAGCTAGCTAGCAAAGATGGTTTGCGGTACCACACCATTAAAGACTGCTCAAGTGACCGTGCAATATTAATGGTGCCTACGTTTGGAAACCAGTCCAGTGGTACCTTACTTTAATAATAATAATAATTCCTTACATTTATTATAGCGCTTTTCCAGATGCTCAAAGCGCTTTACAAATACACATTACACATATCATACATGTAATGGTCATGTACTGTGGACAATACGCACAGGAGCAAGTTCAGGTGAAGTGTCTTGCCCAAGGACACACCGGCTTTACAGACGCAGCAGCGGCGGGTTTCACCCCTTGATCTGATGATCATTGCACAGCGCACTGCGCCACACCGTCCATCTTCACGCCTCGAAGTCATCGAGGCGCTTTTACAAGTACACATTAGTATTATACATGTACTGTGGACATTACCCACAGGAGCAAATCCGGGTGAAGTGTCTTGCCCAAGGACACAACGGCCTGACGCAGTGGCGGCAGGAGCAGGTTTCGAACTGGAGTTCCACAGCACCCCCCTTGATCTGATGACCAGATGCACAGACCACTGCGCCACCCGTCCCGGGAATAGTAAAAAAAAACATTTTAAACTTTTATTTGTATAGTTCTCTTTTTACTAGTTGCAGCTAGTTGCGTACCTTCCGTTACATAGCCGAGATGGCGATTGTTGGGTGCAAGAAGTCTACAGGGTTCCACATTCAACTTTTACACCATCCAGGTACAAGCACGCATATGACACACAACTGTTCTCATATTAAGTCACAAATGTAAAGGAAAATAAGTCAGAAAATAAAACTCTGTTGCAACATTAGCACAATAGCAGATAATATATTTCTTCCTCCTGGTAAAACAAGTTTAAAAGTCAAGAGCAAGAAGTGGATATTTTCTACAGTGGTTCTGTTCAAACACCAGACCACGCTATAAAACTTCTATAGAGTGCCACAGTGACGCGTCCTAAAACCAGGAAGTAAGTTAGCATTTGACCACTTCCGGTTCCTTCGACAAAAACCAATGCAATTTCTCCATAGGATTTTGGAAAATAGCTCGAAATAAGGTCTGTGGTTGACACAAATTGAAGAGACAGATCACGTTTTGTTCAGCCGGATATTATCCACATGTCTACCCTACTTTTGTAATTTTCGAATCATAAATCTAATCGATAGATTTATAATTGATAGATTTATGATTATAAAATGATTAAGGAGTTTCCTTCCGGGTTTTAGGATGTGGCACTCTATTGGACAGCTATACTATACTGTAAATTGTATTGAATGTCCTGACCCCATGCATTTTTTATCATGATTTGCCATTATTTTCTAATGGACACCAGGGTTCATTGTTAGTCTACTCTGCAACAACTCGAAAAAGGTAGACCAACACATTGAGACCAACACAGGGCTGCACATCATGCTACACTTTCCCAACCGAAGAGCCACGTTAATTATTCATTGCAAAGACAGAAAAGCTTCATTTCACAAAGTTTTTTGTTTCAATTCCAAGTGTTGATAATATTTTTGTCCATTAAAAATTAAAATGTGTTGAAGCTCGGTCATGGAGATGCGGGGGTTAAGCCATCTTGCATTGAGCTGTCAGTTACGTGCACATAGACTTACAGACAAGGACCCACGCACACAAATAGTGCACTTAAAACGTGTGTAGCAGAGGATGAGGGGAATGGACGGTGTGTCAGTAGGATGCGTTCACTGAGACGTGAGGAAGGACCATTTGCTCATGGATTCATAGGCTTCCGTCATCCATTATTTAGCATGGAGACGAGCAGTGGATTGGTGGCTGGATGATTTTTCTGACAGCGTTTACATGGCTGATGGCTACAGACATGACGATTTTTGCTGCTTTGTTTTGATGGTGCAGAAACTTTTTTTCTTCAAACGCACCAATGTATTCTCAATAAGAAAAGTATACATTCCATCCTAGCATTCAGCTATTTTTGCAAACACGCTTGCGGCAAATCCATTCATGGACAATTAAGAGATTGCTATAAATTTCAACATGGCCAATTTTGCCTCAGAGGACAATTGTGAAACGTCAACAAAAAAAGCAGTTGCTGGCCAGCGTTTGCCCTCCATGCAAAAGCTAAATGACATTAGCCTTTGTCTATTGAGTTTGCTAAATGCCCCACATGAAGTGTATTTGCCCCCCAGGGCTGGGAAACAATCGTGCAGGCGAGCGTTCCATTAAAGTGATTTGAATGATCAGAGTATTGCAGTGCTTCCTAGCAACCAGAGAAATGGGTCAATACTGTGAGGCTAAGTGACATGGTTGGCAGCCTGCGCTCCCGTGGAAGAGGAGCGGGACCTCACTGTCACTGGGTCAGACAGACTGGTAACATTCGTACGGTTAGCTCAGACAACAGAACTCATCCCAGGTCAGCAAAGAGGTAAACAACAGAATCCTTATCAGTAGCTTAATACTGACGCCACATTTCCAACTCCCACACACTGAGCTTTCGGACATTGAGCAGTGGTTAGTGTAGTAAAGAAAGATGCCATGACTTACTTTCAGCGTTGATTGACATTGTGTCTTTCTCCCAGGACACAACAGTGATGTAGGCCTCCACTGAGGAAGGGATAATGCACTTGAAGACCGCCACATTTCCTCTCATGGCTTTCTGGTCCTCCACCCGGACAGTGTAGGGCTCTCGTAGGACTGACAGGAGGGGACAGATTGGTGTTTGAGACAGAAAAACTGCTTGTAAGGCAAGCTCATAATGGACCATGATTGATGGATTGATGAAGTGTAGAAATTCAAACTTACCAGCCTTAATGTGTACATCTTGGCTCCTGATTCTCCCTGAGGGGTTCTCTGCTGTGCAATAGTAGGTGGTGTCGTGGATGAGTTTGCTAAAGCTGGAAGGGGGGATATTGAATATCTGAAGGGTGCCATTGGGGTGCACATGGCGGATCCCTGGCACATCATAGATCTCCTCGCTGGTGGCCAGGTACCAGCGCAGCGAGACGGGGGGCACGCCTACGGCGGGACAGGGCACCAATGTCCCTGTGGTGCTGGCAAACACTACCTCTTGCACAGATGCATTGACAAAATATAAGCTGGAACGTAGATCTTCACAGAAAACTGCAGAGAGAGACAAAAAAATAATGTTAGACAAGCTCCTTTTTAACCTCCTAACAAAACATAAACATAGAGTGGGCCGACCCGGAAGTTAGCATTGCAAGGGCTAACTTGACTAAAAGCCATGGGATTTTCCCATCTGATTTCCAAATACTGCAGAAGAAAAATATATTTTGCAAGCACATGTATATGATACTTAAACATTTTGTTCAGCAGCATCATTTCCACATATTAACACTTATTTTATGATTGTTGAGGCATCAAATCAATCACCAGAAGGAAATAACGAAGGGCTATAAACAAACTACATCAAGTCACATTGCTGTGCATCACCAACGCTAAGCTAAAGGTGGCTAACGTTCGATGTGTTGAAGTGTATGAGTCTCATTTAGTCAGTTATTAACTGACATATTTGATGTTGTAAAACAAAACATGATCATACAAAGATCTTATCTTCAGGCATCTAACCTAAAACATGTTCAAAAACCTGTCGACTTAGAGATGAGGGAACTGGAAGTAAAATGCTAAATGCTATTTCAGGTTTCAGAACACATTTCTGCACCTCTCTATTGTATGCTATAGGATTTTAATTAAACTGACCAGCCACTATTGTGCAAGCTACCCACTACATTGCAGAATAACAATTATATCTGACAGAATTGTGCTATCTTTTCTTTGAATTTAGGCTGAGTGTGTTTTTCTCTGGTTGGACCATTGTGTTTGTTCCCACTGCAGTGTAGGGAGGCTGCAGGAGAGTGTCTATGAAGAGACATTGCAGCAAAGCTGTGGGAGAGGAGGCGTGTGGCGCAGTGGATAGAGCCTTGGTGTTGGGATCAGGGGGGCACAGGTTCAAACCCCACTGCAGTCAGCATGTCGTTGTGTCCCTGAGACACTTCACCCCAAAGTGCTCCTGTGGGGATTGCCCACAGTATTGAGTATGTAAGTCTCTTTGGATGAAAGCGTCTAACAAGTAATGTAATGGAGAGCAGCAATGGATGTGAAACAACAGAGCCAGTCTGTAGACACATCCGTGCTCTAAAGCATCTGTGAAAACAACCCTGAAAAGCTGACTGAGACAAAGGAAGCTTTTCTGATGATCAATTGCACATTTTAGTTGCAAGGATGTAAATTGTCTTCCCTGTCGTATATACTGACTAAACATATTGTGGTAGTTGACTGTTTTTTTAACAAAACATGACACCCTACAGAATACACACAAATATATCCACAACTTTCCAGGCTTAAGAAACTCTTCTGAATAAAAAATAGTACATGTTTAATATAAGGTGCTATATTGTGTGAGTAACAATCTTTGAAAGACATTTTGGTGTTCTCAAGGTTTTATTTGTCTCCTTTCCAATGTGTTTGTCAATTGTTCTCATGACAAAGTCACTGCATCGATACTTTCATTAGAATGAAAAGTGACATTGCTTCTGTGGCTTCCAAAAGGTTTCATATTAGGTAATCCTGTATTGTAACAACTATACTGTTGCTGTGTGAGAATCAGCTTCCATGATTATAATCTGGATATTGGCAACCAAATGGTCCTTACAGCCGACTGCGGACGGTGTTTCCAAGTCATCTTAACTGATGAGGCATGTCAATGCAACTCTTTGCTGTAATGGACAACCCACACTGCTGGCACCAGGCCAGGATATGTATACTGGCTGGATCCCAAGAAAGGGCGGAGGACTTTAATACATCCTCTGCCTTTTTATTTGTGTACTGCTGTTTGAGTTAAACAGTAATAATAATGAGAGATTACTGCAGAACCCAGTTCGAAGGATATTTCCCCAAAAAAGGTGTAGTTTTTAGATGCTCTTTCTATTCTGATGTTGAGATAACTAAGACAATATATATATATATATATATATATATATATATTTATTATCATATAACTAAATTAAGAGCTTTATCAACATTTCCCCCATTAGTACCAGTACATCGAACATAGTTATCACTATTGTGCCTATTGTCATGGATCACCGGTTATGCACACCTTTTTACTCTACCTTTCCCTTACATCCAGACCCTGAATTGCTTAACCCAGTTGAATTATGCTTCTGTTTTATTTAGTTATTACTTGAGGTGGATTTATGGATTGTATCCTTTAATTGTCTTCATGTGCTATTGCTTTGTGTACTTCTCCATTCCATAATGTATTTATTTGTATCTTTTGTCCCCTCACTAAAAGTTCTTATGTGAGAGGTGCACAAATATAAATGTATTATATTATTTTTCCTATTATTATTATTATTACATTATGATTATTAGTAGTAGTGTTTTATTATATGTATTTATTATACTAAATAATACATTAAATATGAATGGCAAATGAAAGAAAAAAATGCTTATTTTATTTAATAAATGGTATTTCGTCTGTGGAGTTGAACAGTGTGTGTGTGTGTGTGTGTGTGTGTGTGTGTGTGTGTGTGTGTGTGTGTGTGTGTGTGTGGTGTGTGTGTGTGTGTGTGTGTGTGTGTGTGTGTGTGTGTGTGTGTGTGTGTGTGTGTGTGTGTGTGTGTGTGTGTGTGTGTGTGTGTGTGTGTGTGTGTGTGTGTGTGTGTGTGTGTGTGTGTGTGTGTGTGTGTGTGTGTGTGTGTGTGTGAGAGATACAGGCTCTCTGCTCCTGTCGCCAGCCCGCCTGTACGACAGCTGCCAATCCCCCTCCCCAGAGACCAAACATTTTAGCGCTTCATAAATTCCTAATGAGCACGCTCAAATCATCGCCACTTCCACCCACTGGTCGTTGAACCTGTTAAGACAAACAAACAGCGCGGAGTACACATGTTTCCGCACATTTCCAGCTGCACTCACTTCACACATGCAGCACTCTGAGGGCCCGGCCTGGAGCTGTTGAAAGGCCAACAGTTGTAGTTGTCAACAGCTACAACTCTGTGGTTTCTTATCCAAGACGAGGTAAGAAAAGGCAGAGGAGCAGTGACACATGCCTCTTGGGGGGGGGGGGGTTTATTGAGTGCCAGATCGGCTAAGCTTAAACCTGACCGTTAAGTACTTTTCAAAACTGATTGGCAGATGGAGAGTCAAACATTGATGTATAAATTCACCAATATATGAATATGTTTAAAAGTGTTAAAGCTTAGCAGCAGTACACAGATATACGTTGTGTTTGTCCCTATGTGCTTGTAGGGTTAGGGTTATTTTGTTATTTTGTGTGTACATTGTGAAATGTCCTGTTTTGTAGTTGACTTGATGCAGATAATAACCTCCAGCTTTTATTGTCCTGTCATCAAATTTCTCTGCATTTGTACATAATTCAAACATTTGGAAACATTTTTGATGTAGCTGTAATAATCTTGTATGCTTGCAAAATATATAACGGTTAAAAAAAACGAAGAGAAGCACAAGCCAAAGAAAATAACATTCTTAAATGGCTCATTTCCCATAATGATGCATGAAAAACTCGCAAACACAGAGTAACAGCTTGTCAGTTGTTTTCTCAAGTAGGAAAATGTGTCATCAAGATGATCATAAAATCCCAGCATCTGTTACGAGTCGCAGGGAGACACAGACACACACACACACACACACACACACACACACACACACACACACACACGGCTGTTATTGTGACATTGTTTAACTGCTTGTAGTTACAGGTTATTAAAAATGCATCATCCATAGAAGCATTTGCAGTCGCTGATTTTTATTTTATCTGAGTTGAATTTGAAACCTCCATTGTCTAAACTGTATTGGATTTTAGACTTTTGTTTGTTTAGCATTTTACATGTTGGAGACTCCTTGGTTAATCATTGTACCTGGGTTACTTTACATTACATTACATGTTACTTGTTCCAAAGCGACTTACATACTCAATACTGTGGGAAATCCCCACAGGAGCACTTTGGGGTGAAGTGTCTCAGGGACACAACGACATGCTGACTGCAGTGGGGTTTGAACCTGTGACCCCCTGATCCCAACACCGACACACTAGTCCACTGCGCAACACACCTCCCCACTTTAATGTTATATTGTATTTCTGAACTTGCATTGATCATCTTACAAAGTCATTATCATCAATTGTAGGCGGTCATGTCTTTTTATTTGTTTAAAGTCACAAGAATACAGTGAAATACACAAATATAAATGTACAGTAGAGCGGTCAAATGTAAAGCTCTTCTCTGTGCCTGAATGTATTGTAATTGAACCCAAACTTTAAAAATAATCCTGATAAAAGCTTAAAATAATATAAGATACACTGTAAAAACCGAACCGCTGACTTTAGTTAAATTAATGATGTCAACAGATTTCACATAACTGTATTAGGTTAGTTAAACGCAATAATATTACGTTTGAATACAAAATATTAGGTTAAACTATATTATTGCTTTCACCTAATGAAACATGTGACATTTGTTGACACACAAGTCACGTTTCAGTTTGGTCAGTGTGTGTGATGGAGGCTAGACCAGAGCAAACAGCCATCACGGTCTGATTGTTTATAAGGTGAGTGAAGATGAAAGGCTGCTTCATAACTGCTTTTGTCCAAATCCGCTTTGCACCAACTCATAAAAAATGGAGACGCCCACCAGCTCCGCCTCCACCACCAATTTCTGGGTGGCTGGTTCCTTGAGATTGGAAAGCCTGATGGACACAACCCTGGCAGATCCCAAACGTTCAGAGAGATACAGTGGAAGTGCATTTATTTTTTAGCGCAGCGCCAAGAAAAGCGGCGAGGGCGGGGTTTGAGTGGGGAGGCGGGAAAGCTGGAAAGCACTCTGACAGTGACACGCAGGCTGCTATTAAAAGAGAGAGCCTGGACGAGAATGTAAAGAAAAGGGAGAAGGATAGTGGAGGAGCCATGACGGAGGTCAAAGGCTCGCTCCATCTCAGTTGTATACCACAAATTAATACTTTCTTTTTCCATTTCTCCCTTTCTCTCCAGCCTCTTCCTACAGAACTCGTTTCTCCAGCCCAGCCTCCTCTGTCTGCATAATGTTGTAACCTTCATCTCCCCTTCACGCTCCTCTGAACCTGTCTCT